CCCATGGCTGCCGTAACAACTGACCACTCCACTCACCAGCTGGCTTGAAACAACAGGATTCAACCTCTCCCAGTTCTGGGGCCAGAAGTCCGAGATCAAGGTGTCACAGGGCTGTGCCATGCTCCCTCTGGAGGCCCCAGAGGAGGGTCCTTCTTGCCTGTCCCAGCTACTGGGGATTACAGTCTCTGGCTTGTGGCCACATCACTGCAGTCTCTGTTTCCTTGGTTCTGTGGCTTCTCTCTCGCTCTTGTGTCTGTGTGTCTCCTGTTCTGTCTCTTATAGGGATAGTCATTGATTTGGGACTCACCCTGATAATATAAAGGATCTGACCTCATCTCAGATCCTTTCCTTGATTACATATGCAAAGCCTGTTTTCAAATGCACTAAGTCCTCACTTGATTGCACTTCACAGATGTTGTGTATTTTGTTTGACCAGGGAATTTCCCAAATTATTAATCATTCTAATCAATAAAATATATTTTTAAAAAAATTATTTTTAATTGATTTCTGAGAGAGAGAGAAACACCAACCAGCTGCCTCCTGCACACCCCTTACTGGGGATCAAGCCCAAAACCTGGGCAAGTGCACTGACCAGGAATTGAATGGGTAACCTCCTGGTGCATGGGACGAAGCTCAACCAGCTAAACCACACCAGTCAGGCTTTTACCATTTTAAAAAGGACACACTATATTCGTTTCCCATGGCTGCCGTAACAACTGACCACTCCACTCACCAGCTGGCTTGAAACAACAGGATTTAACCTCTCCCAGTTCTGGGGCCAGAAGTCCGAGATCAAGGTGTCACAGGGCTGTGCCATGCTCCCTCTGGAGGCCCCAGAGGAGGGTCCTTCTTGCCTGTCCCAGCTACTGGGGATTACAGTCTCTGGCTTGTGGCCACATCACTGCAGTCTCTGTTTCCTTGGTTCTGTGGCTTCTCTCTCGCTCTTGTGTCTGTGTGTCTCCTGTTCTGTCTCTTATAGGGATAGTCATTGATTTGGGACTCACCCTGATAATATAAAGGATCTGACCTCATCTCAGATCCTTTCCTTGATTACATATGCAAAGCCTGTTTTCAAATGCACTAAGTCCTCACTTGATTGCACTTCACAGATGTTGTGTATTTTGTTTGACCAGGGAATTTCCCAAATTATTAATCATTCTTTTTTTTTAAATTTATTTTTACTTTTTAATATATTTTATTGATTTTTTACAGAGAGGAAGGGAGAGGGACAGAGAGTCAGAAACATGGGATGAGAGAGAAACATCAATCAGCTGCCTCCTGCACACCCCCCACTGGGGATGTGCCTGCAACTGAGGTACATGCCCTTGACCGGAATCGAACCTGGGACCCTTCAGTCTGCAGCCCGATGCTCCATCCACTGAGCCACACCGGTCAGGGCATCTTCTTCTTTTCTTAGCATTTATTTTATGTTGAATTTACTCCTGGTCATTTCCTCTGGGAAATCATCTCCATTTTCCAGGGAATCATTCATTCACAGAGCATACCAGCATTTCCTCTCTGAAACCCCAGAGTTCTCGGCATTCCTGATGGGCCTTCATTAGGTGTCCACAGGACTCTTCCTTTCTCAGTGGTGCTCACATCATCCCATGTCTTCTTGATCTCTGGGCAGGCTCTGCGGGGCTTCAGAGGCTTCTGCATCTCAGAAGGGCATGTAGCCACCAGACTGGGTACAAATTGAAGGCAAGACCCTCCACCAGCAAAATGGTTATAGCTTGCTTCCTTGCGGTGGTCTGGAACTGAACCCACCATATTTCCAAGGTCTGCCTGTAAGGCCCTGCTCATGTGCTACCATCAGCTGCTGCAGCACAGTATGACCTCTGAGGACACCCACCATCGAGTGGGATGGGTCTCCCTATCTTAGCCCCTAGAGTGCTGGGGAGCGCGATCGCGCTCCTCCTGTCTTTCGCCAAAAGTGCCGGGAGCGCTATCAAAGCTTCGAAGTGACGTCCAGTTCTAAGTCTGCTTTTATTAGTGATGATGATATTGCTAAATATGTCAATGTAGTAAAGCAGTAATGGCGAACCTATGACACGCGAACTCATTTTTTTGGTTGATTTTTCTTTGTTAAATGGCATTTAAATATATAAAATAAATATCAAAAATATGTCTTTGTTTTACTATGGTTGCAAATATCAAAAAATTTCTGTATGTGACACGGCACCAGAGTTAAGTTAGGGTTTTTCAAAATGCTGACATGCCGAGCTCAAAAGGTTTCCTTAAGTTTTTGAATATGTAACTTCATTTACTTGCGATTCATAATTTTTTCCCTAAACTGCTGTAAAATCAGCAAAAATGCCTTGGCAATTTTAGCACAGTTCCTAGGATACTGGTTGGCACTCAAAGGGTTAGTCTGGCACGTCCCTTTCCTCCTGGCCCGAGTGACAGGGCTGCTCCAGGCGGCCAGACTCAGCGGGTTCTCGTCAGGCCCTGGCCCTGCGTGGCTGCCTCCTGAGAACTGGCATCTAGTGAACCACACACTGACATCACTACTGTCGAGACATGGACATACCCATCCTTCTGTTTCCCTGTACCCCATCCCCTGCCCACAGGATTTCTCTGAGCTAAGCAGACGCTCCTTCCAGAAATTTCCATGGAGCCAACCTTTGCTGGGACTGAGAAGGAACGCCTCACTTGGTGAGAATTTAGGCACCTTTAAGATGTATTTTTAAAAAAATGTTTTTATTGATTTCAGAGAGAGGAAGGGAGAGGGAGATAGAAACATCAATGAGAATCATCTATCAGCTGCCTCCTGCATGCCCCCTACTGGGGACGGAGCCCACAACCGAGGCATGTGCCCTGACCAGAAATGGTACCCTGACCTCCTGGTTCATGGGTTGACACCCAATCATTGAGCAACACCAGCTGGGCTAAGATGTATTTTTAAACACTTCTGTTGAAATATAATTCACATACCGTGCCATTCACCCATTTAATGCACACAATTCCAAGAGGAAGGGGAGGGAGATAGAAACATCAATGAGAATCATCTATCAGCTGCCTCCTGCATGCCCCCTACTGGGGACGGAGCCCACAACCGAGGCATGTGCCCTGACCAGAAATGGTACCCTGACCTCCTGGTTCATGGGTTGACACCCAATCATTGAGCAACACCAGCTGGGCTAAGATGTATTTTTAAACACTTCTGTTGAAATATAATTCACATACCGTGCCATTCACCCATTTAATGCACACAATTCCATGGGTTTGGGTGTATTGCATTATTTATTTAAAAAATCAATAGGCAGTGAGTACCCTGGCCGGTTTTGCTCAGTGGTTAGAGTGCCAGCCTGCAGACCAAAGGGTTGAGGGTTAGATTCCTGGACAAGAGCACATACCTTGGTTGCAGGTTCCCACTTTCCTGCCAGCCCCCCCTTCACTGCTTAAGCACACAGCTGCTGAGAAATTGGGAGACAGCTGAGCATTGTCATATGTCACATTTATTGCTACAGTGCTGTTATGTACAGGACAGGTCTCCATATTGACTTTAAAGGGGGTCATTTAAAACTTCCAAAGAATCCAGCCAGCTGTGTGGACACTTGTATAAAATTATTTTTCTTAAAAAAAAAATTTAAACAAAAACAAAACAGTTATTTTGAGGCACTCAGAGCACAATCCCCTTTAACTGTGGTTTTCCCCTCCCCCAGTGCTACTTCTTCCCCTACTGGGTTAATCTCATTTTACGTAATTTAAATTCTACGTGTAAGCCGCAGCTCAAAAGTCTGCAGACCTCCAGGGGACTAGGGCCCTCAGCTCCTGCCTGACTGGATCAAGGGGCAAGACCAAAAGCAGAATAAGAGGGAAACCGAGGCAGGTTCCCCAAGAGACAGGAACCAATAGACCAGGGGAGTCACCAGGCAGAGTCCACCCCCACCCTGCACGCTGATGGCTCTTTGCTGTCCTGATGGGCTTTGGAAGGAAGACCCCAGGGGAGGACCTAGGTGATGTCAGGGGTCAGGAGGTGGCCCCAGCCTCAAGCCCAATGTCCTGCCTGGTGCTGGCCATGGGACTCCCTGGAGCTTCCTGCAGGGCACTTTGCTCCCAGCCTCGGGGTGTTATATTTGTGGGGGTGGGGGTCAGCTGGCCCTAGAAGTTGGGGAGTGAGGGGTGGAGTCTTGGGGAAAGACTGATATTGGTGGGGTGAATGCAGCCAGCCTGGGGGTCCTTAAGTCTTCTTTTTTTTGGAGGAGGGGGATAAAGGTAAGGAAACCAAGACCCCAGTAGGCCTGAGCCTATACCTGGGTGACATGTAGGGTGACCAGCCATTCCAGTTTCCCTGGGAACTGCAGGGGATCCAGGGATGCAGATGGTCAATGTAAACATGGGACAGTCTGGGCAGCGTGGGATGACATAGTCCTCCTCGTGACATGGAAGACCAGAGGGCACTTGGGGAGACCTGGAACACCAGGCACACAAGCCTGAGGGGCCCCCCTGGTTTTGCAGCTGGACAGTAATTTCGGCAGGTGCATAGCCTTGGGGTTTTTCTGGGCATAAGGACCCTGTACCTTCTCCCTGCTCTGTCCATGCCTATTTTTGGCCCCTCCACACCAGGACAGCCACTTGGTGGGGTGGGCAGGGGGTGTGAGTTTTCTAGGCTGGCCTCGAGCTACTGCCCCACTGCCAGAGTGCAGAGATGGGCTTGGGTCCCCAGGTCAAAGGAATGAAGGACACGGAGTCTGGGAAGACCCACAGCATCGTGCTCCAACAGTGCAGTCCCCCTGCCCTGGAATGTGGGTAACAAAACTCCCCACTTTGGAGGACTGTGGGCTCCAGGGAAGATGTGGGGAGGTGCCTGGGGTCCAGAGTGACACTTGAAGGAGGACCTTTGGCATTTTCACCTGGGAGGGTAGCGCCTCAGTTGTGCCTCTGCCCCTCCTGGGAGACCAGTGTCTCTCTCCTGGAGGGAGAGAGGATGGGGTGTGGAGGCCCCCATCGGGAAAGGCCCACTTTACTCCAAAGCAAGAAAGCAAAACCCAAACATCTAAAGAAATGAGACCCACCAATACCTGTTCTCCCTGTGGCCCATGGCTGGGCTCCCGGGACAGGGGAGGGGGACCTTAGGTTTACAGTGGGGTCTTTTAAATATAACTTTTAATCTGGTTGATCATGAAATGTAATGCTCAGTTCTAGAAACAGCAGCAGAAATACAAGAGACACAAAACTTTTATACAAAACATTTGTTGCTTACAAAACATATGCAAAAAAAAACAAAGGCATCCTCCTTGCTAATTTTCTTCTACATTAAAAAAAAATTTCATAACTAGCGTTTTTATTTTCCTTAAAAAAAAAAAAAATCAGGCATAGGCACAATTTGCTGGTGGCTTCTGAAGAACAAGCCAGTTTTTCACAGCGTCTCTCTCCAACAAGTGATATGTTTTAACTTTTCCATGTTTTATACTTAAGGCATTTTTTTTCTGATGAAGTGTATATTTCTTGTTTGTGTTCCAGTTTTTACCAAAAAAGAAAAAAAGAAAGCTCCTTCCAGCCAGGGCTTGTGTAGCAAGGCTGAGATGCAATTTCAGGATCCATCAGGCAAGTCCCAGCATGTGGGGGTAGCTGAGGCCTGGGGGTGGGGACAGCAGGGTCCCCAGGAGGCTCCTGGACCCCACTGTCACCTCTAGGGCCCCCATCTCTTGAAGCCTCCTTAGGCTGGTGTTGGCTCAACGCTGACCACAGGTGTATGTGAGGTGTGGACTGGCCAGCCCACGTTGAGGATGGACCCGACACGCTGTGTGACCATTCCAGGTTAGACTGAGGTCAGGTCACTTATCCCACGGAGGCGTACCTTTCACATGTGCCCAGCAGGGTTGTGGGCCTCACTCAGGCCCGGGTGGGCTGCTGAAAGCACCATCTGGGGGTCTCCAACCACGCCTGACACCTTCTCCTCTTCTCGTCGCTTCAAGCACGCTGCTTTGGGGTTGAGGTTACGTTCTGGTGGTAGAGGGAGAGCACTGTGGGAGATGATCGCCAGAGAGGGAGAACATGAGGTGGCAGGGGCGTGGGGAGCATGGCAGAGCGCCAGAGGGAGAGGCAAAGGCCCTCACATATGTGGCTGCCTCCATTTCTTGACTTGTCCTCCCATTCCCTGAGAAGGCCGTACAGGGCTGGGGCATTGTGAATTATAAAGAACAGGTTGGGTGTTCTGGGGGACATCAGTCTGAGATGTGGACGGAGCCCAGGAGCTAGTGCACACCTGTCTCCAGTGAAGCACCGTTGGCATGCAGGCGGGAAGGGGGTAGGGTGGGGACTCCTAGCCTGGGCGCCTACCTCGCACCTGCTGCTCCAGGCCCAGGATGACCTGCACGGCCTGCTGCAGGATGAGCAGTTTGGTCTGCGCCTTGTCCGACTTGAGGTGCATCTGGCACATGCGCCCCAGCTCCCGGAAGGCCTCGTTAATGTCCCGCACACGCACCCGCTCCCGCGCGTTATTGGCCATACGCCTCTCCCGGTCCCTCAGGTCTTTCTCTTCCAGGGACAGCACCTCCTCCGTACTGCTGGGTCACAGCACCAGGGCCTCTGTTAGTTATGTGCGGGGGCAGGGGTTGGCTGAACAGTGGGCGGGTGGGTGAGCAGGGCCAGGTTGTGGAGAGGGCACCCATTGGCTCTGTGTGTGTGTGTGTGTGGGGGGGTGTGTGTACACAGCAGTGCAGGGGCAGGTCTGTGGCTTGTGTTGTGGGTGGACACCATAGGGTAAGTGGGTGTGCCTGGTGTGTGCATGCTTATGTCCATGAAAATGTGTTTCTGGACTGGAAACCATAAGCAGTGTGCCTGTGACCAGTTCCAGGCAAGGCTATGTGTGTGGGGTCATGTTCAAGAGACATGGCCAAAGCCCAACTGTCCCCAGGAGGCTCCATGGGAATGGAGGTGGGCCTTGATTTCCTTCTATCGCTTGCCCATCCCACATACCCCACGATAGGCCAGGTGCCCCTCCTGGGATGACGACCTTCCCCATTCAGAGCAGTCACCTCCTGGGTGAGGGAGGGCTGGTTCTGCCTGGCTTGACAAGCCGGGTGGGAGGGAATCAGGAGACTGCTACAGTAGGCAAAGGCCTGGGGAGACCTCTAGGGCTGGGGAATGGTTCAGGACACTCAGTCCCACAAGGAGCCAACCAGTTCACACCCTCCAAGACCCCCACACTAGACTCTGGCTGCCCTGACAGCTGGCCCTGGAGTGCCCACCATGAACCCTGCCCATAGGTCCGACTCTGGGTGGGAGAGTTAGCTCCCTGGGCCTGGGGCCTCCGCTCTTAGGGCCTCAGTGGTGGCTCCAATTTATGGAGCACTGTGTGTGCCAGGCACCGAGTTGAGCCCATTGCCCACATAAGAATCTAGAATGGGAGCATAGACACCTGCCCACCCAGTGGTCTACACTCAGCCCAGGCCCGAGGAGCTGGTGGCCATGTGGCTTTGGCTAAGTGACCTCACTCCGTGCCTGTTTCTTTCTGGGTAGGACTGGGGCTAACTGAAATCAGGACACCTGCCACACTCAGCTGAAGACAAATGAAGGCCTGGCACATGGTGTGTGCCCGAGGTGCAGGAACCTGGACCTCCGGTGCCCTGTCCTGCTCCTGTGCTGGGGGGGCTGTTGCCCTCACCCTGCCTGCTGGCCCCGGAGCCCAGGACAAGCGCGCAGACCAAACTGACAGCCAGGCCCAGAGGCTGGTGCTCCTCGGTCCCCTTTCATCCCTCAAGTCTCCATAGGTGGCTTTGAGGGAAGAAAGGGCCTGAGGTTGCTACTAGCCATCCGGTGCTTGGGCAGCAAGTGCGAGGTAAGGAGGGGCTGCCGGTGGAAGCAGAGACGGACAGGCTGGGTGGGGGAAGAGCGCAGAAGTCAGAGAGCAGAGAAGAGGATGCAGGGGACACACACGGCATGATGCCCACACCAAGTGCAGATGCGGAAACCTGAGAGCTGAGGGGACAGTGCAGGGTGGGCCAGAGCCCCAGCTCCAGTACAAGCGACAGTGCTGCAGGAGAAAAAGGGTTAATGGGTGCGCAGGACGGGGAGGAGTTAAGGAAGCAGCTGGTGGGAGTAGGGATTCACCTGGGGTGGGGTGGGAGGGGGGATGGGACAGGGCGATTTCCAGATCCTCACCCAGCCCTGGGAAAGGGGGTTAAACCCCATCTGCAGATGGGGTTTGATGGGGTCCTACGAGGTGTCTGCTCAGAGTGACAGTGACAGCCTCTGGGCCCAAGGGGACCACAGGCCATTGCTGGCTAGGCTCTGGGGCTTTCCAGAGGTGGAAGGGCAGGGGTCCCTAGAGCCAAAGTGCCAAGGTCCGTAGGATTAGGGGTCCAGAGTCTCATCCTCCCATTCCAGAGGGGACACTGGGGCCAGGCCAGGCAGAAGGCAGCTGGTTCAGGGTGGGAGGACGGTCACTGGGGCGCGGGGGGTGTGAGACAGTGACTTGGAAGAGGATGATCACTGCAGGAGGCAGTCACTGCAGGAGAGGCGGGCTCTAGGAGGGGGAAGGAGAGAGCGCGGGCAGAGGCGACGGGAGGGGAGCGGCGCCCCCACTGACCTCGCACCTGCTGCTCCAGATTCAGGATGACCGACACGGCCTGGTGCAGGATGAGCAGTTTGGTCTGGGGCTTCTCACTGTTGAGGTGCAGCTGGCACATGCGCCCCAGCTCCTTAAAGGCCTCATTGATGTCTCGGACCCGCAGCCGCTCTCGTGCGTTATTGGCCACCCGGCGCTCCTTCTCCCGCTCAGCCTTCTGCTCTGGGGGGAGAAGGTCGTCCTCGTCCTCCTCCGGGCTACGGGGGTGGGGGAGGCCGGGGGGCCAGAGGGAGACAGTGAGACGGGGAACAGGCGCAGGGCCCGCCGGATGCCTCGCGGTGTGAACGCCACTGGTGTGAGCACTGTGTGCGTATGCTTGAGTCCTGATAGGTGGGGTAGGGACCGAGGAGGGGCTGGCACCTGGTCCGGATCCTGGGGGCCTTCAGCTCCTTCTTCTCCTCCTCTGAGTTGTCAGCCACCGACACATTCTCCTCATCTTCCTTCTCCTCCCGCTTGATCTCACTGGTACCTGAGGCGGTGCCCCTGTGACCAAGTCCTGCAAGAGGCTGAGGGTTAGGGTACTGCCACCTCCAGGGCCACTTGGCAAGTCCTCTTATGAGGGGTGAGAGCTCTCCTGGCCTTCATGTGCAAAGTGGGGGACAAACCATCTACCTTACACCACTACAGGCACCTAATTACAGACAAAATTAAAGGAAACCTTTAGAAGGAAGTGCATGGGAGTTTTAATGTGGTCTAGGGGCAGAGAAAGAATTTGTAAACACTAAAGGAGCAGTCGCCAACTGGTGGTCCATGAGGTCCGAAAGGTTGGCGACTGCTGCACTGAAAAACTGTTTCCAAAAGAAATCAATAAATTTGACTGTTGTACTATAACTGAGAATTTCAGATCACTAGGATATCTAAGAAAATGAGATATTTTATGATATCTTGATAAAAATACTTGTCACGTATAAATCAGCAAAGACTAGATCTCCACAATATATAACGGACTCCTACAAATCAATAGGAAAAACAGATTCCTCAACAGGGAAACAGGCAAAGCATGGAGCAGGTGTTTCATAGACACAGAAACGGATGTGGCTATATAGAACCTGCATTATCACATCAAGAAGTTAAGAAATTTCGAATGAGGCCCTGGTTGGGTAGTTCAGTTGGTTAGAATGTCGTCCTGATATGCCAAGGCTTTTGGGTTCAATCCCCAGTCAGGGAACATACAAAAACCAACCAATTAATGAATTTATAAGTGGAACAACAAATCAATATTTTTCCATCTCCTCACTCCACCCCCAGAACATCAATAATAAAAAAAAATTTTTGAGGACTATGAGCTACATATCACACACACTAAGCAGAATAGAGAGACCTGACAATTCTAAGTACTGCTTCTGACAGCATATTGGTACAGCCACTTTGGAAAACAACTGGGCATTGTCTGGAATAGGTGGACAGACATGTGCATACCCAGAAATTCCACACTTGGAACCACACCTGAGAAGTTCTTGCACATGTGCACCAGGAGACATGTTCCAGAAAGCACCTGATGGAAGCAGAGTGGGAAGTGACCTATCGTCCTAGGTCGGCCTGGGCCCATCCTTAGCCACTTGCAGGGTGGCAGACCTCACAGACAGCATGAGCAAGCAAGCAGATGCAAAGGAACATTTGCAGGATGCTGATTTTTGAAAGTTCAAAAACCATGTAAACAAAATATATGGTTTCTGGGGAAACAGTTACACTGAACTTAACTACACTAAGGTGCAAATGGCAAAATGCCGACCATAGGAAATAGCTCAGAGTTCTTCAATGGATGAGCCAAGGGGAAGGGGAAAGAATCTGCGCATAAAAGCTTAGGGTTCCCCCTCAGCACTGTGGACACTGAGGCTGGGTCATTCTCTGTGGGGCAGTCCTGGGCATTGTGGGGTGGTGAGCAGTATCCTTGGCCCCCATCCACTCAATGCAAGGGAGCACCCCCCGTCGTGAGAACCACAGATGTTCCAACACTGCCAGGTGCCTCCTGGGTGAAACTCTGGGTATGGAGTGACAAAGTTAAACATGAAAGCATTGACTTTTTCTCTAAAAGCCAGGCTGGCTTTGGGGTGGGACAGGATGGGGAGGGTCCCCAGGCAGGCATGAGAGACCCTGCTTTTTATAATTTGGGTTGCATGGTGGTTCCCAGGGTGCTTGGTATGTTAGGCAGTCTTGTCACATACCAACATCATACTAGTGTCGCATGATGTATATTTTTCATTAGGTTGATATAAGGGTGGGGTAGGTGGAAATCAGGGATTGGCCACTGCCTGGTGGGGGATCCCTGGACCTTCACTGGGCCTCGATCTCCCCCGCTACAGCAGCACCAGCATCGACTGATCCTGGAACTGGCCATAATGAGACCCAGGCCCCTGACCTCTGGTGGGTGCTTCTGAGTCCTGTCACATTCCTCCCTCCTCTTCTGTGAAGACCTCCTACCAAACGGACACCTGTCCTGCTTACCAAGGGCCTCCCCTTACTGGCCCCAGGACCTTCAAACACATTGCCTATTCAGTCTTGAAAGAAATCCTCTAGACCTCGCCCCCTCCCACTCCTGTCCCTGGACAGCGACGCCCCAGCATTCCACTGGTGCTGCCCCTGCCCAGGTCACTGACCCCTAGTTAGTGTAGCCTTAGTCCTCACTCTGGTGTCTGACACAGTCTACCCTCCTTCACTTCTCTCAGCTGCCTGTCCCCATCTGGCCTGACGCTCAGGCCGGGCTCTGCTCTGTCTACACATTGCCTATCGCCCCATCTAGGCTCTTGCCTTTGAACTCCATCATATGCGATGACACCCAGGCCTCACTCTAAACTCCAGACCCAACTCCCATCATCACCTCCACATCAGCAAGTCCTGTGGACTCTGCCTTCAGAATACCCAAAATCCATCCACTTCGCCCTGGCCAGGCCCAGCACCTGCCCCCACTATTCCTCCTAGACCATCACAACTCTCCTCCCTGGTCCCTGGCTCCCACTGTTGTCCCTGTAGTCTGTCCTCCCAGCAGCAGCCACCAAAGGGCACCAGTGAGCACCCGAGTGAGATCCTGCCTTAGCCTTTCCCCAGCCTGTCCTCCCCGAAGCAACCAAAGGGTATCCCAGTCTGGTCCTGTCCCTCCTCTGCTCAGAGCCCTCCAGGGATCCAATCTCTCTCAGAATAAAAGCCCAACACTTCTGTGTGGCCTAAGGTCCCACATGACCTTCCCCTGTCCCCTCTCTGCTCCAGGCCTCCCCTGCTTTTGCTCCTCCCTGATTCTGCTCACATGTCACAACCCTGCTACCCCCATTATCTTTAAAACTACAATCCAGCCCTGACTGGTGTGGCTCAGTTGGTTTGGCATTGTCCCACGCACCAAAAGATTGCTGGTTCAATTCCACGTCAAGAGCACATGCCCAGGTTTTGGGCTCAATCCCCGGTAGTGGGCATGCAGGGGGCAGCCGATCAATGATTGGCTCTCATGTCAATGTGTTTCTCTCTCCCTCTCTAAAAATCAATAAAAAAATATTAAAACAAAATTAAAAAACCTACAACCCACCTGCATCCCCTCCCCATTTTCTCATACTCATCTGTGTCCTCCCCCCAGGGTTGTGTGTGTGGGGGGTGGCTTTCTCTGTTGGATTTGCTGTTTTATTCCCCAGAGCCTAGAGAAACACCAGACACTTGGCACTGAATATGTGCCTGTTGGGTGAGCTCAGTTCACTACACTGTGAGTCAATAAAAAGGCAGGGGCCCTGGTGGCTACAGCATCGCCAGTGCCAATGCCAAGACTACTGGGCTCCACCTTGCTTCTGGAAGATGGGCGGTGACTTTGCCCCCCTTTCTAGGACTCCAGGTGCCTGACAGTAACCACACCTGCCTGGCCTCCACTCATAAAACTTTCCCAGTTCCCATTGTGCCTCAGGTTCCTCAACTGGAAATGGAGGCGGGATAGTCCCAAGCCCAGCAGAGAATAAACACTCAGCCCAGCCTGGCTGTTGCAGTCTGTCACAAACCCTCTCTGCCACCCCTGTTTTCCAGAGGAAGTGATGCCCAGTGACTGAGCATCATAGAAGAAGCCAGAGCACAGATGACTCTGAGGTGCTGGCTGCCCTGCCCAGGCGCGATGCTGGGACTTACCACTGTAGGAGTCAGGTGGCCGAGAGAGGTCGGGGAGGGCGCTGGGCTGGTTGGGGAGGGCCACATGGTTGTGCATGAGGCTGCCACTGCCTGAGAGGCCATCCTCGGAATGGCTGCCTCCAACCTGTAGACCAGGAGTGGGTGACTCAGGGCTGGCCAGGCTCCCACCAACTGCCCACCTCACCCCTCCCTGTCCAGCACTTACCAAGCTGGTGTGTCGCCCACCCAGTGGCATGATAGGGCCGGCAAAGCCTGAGGCCAGTGTTCCATGGCTGGGCAGTAACCCGTGCACGTCACCCGAGGTACCCACGGCGTGGCTACGGAGCACGTGGATGGCCTCATCCAGGTGGTCTTCCATCTTGTTCTGCTGTGAGGGTGGGGGGTGAGTGACCTGGCTGCCAGTACCCACACCCAGCCCTGTGTGGTCTGGCCTGAAACATGAGCCTGGGCTGGCCATGGAGATAATGCTGGACCTTATTCCCAAGATATTAACTACAAAGTTCATTGCTGTCAAAAGGACATCTAGGTCCTAATGTAAATTCTGCTGGTCACATGAGACCCAATGGCTCTTATGGAACTCAAAGTCACATGAAACATGGCCACAGCAGACATGCTGAGCTGCCCCCCGTGGGCTGCCTCCCCTGCTCCGGGAATAGGCTCTCCACATGCATCCTGTGTTTGTCCACAAACACTTCCATCCCCTCCCCAGGGTGTTCCCACATAGGCACATCCTCCCCCCAGACAAGCAGGAAGCTCACCAGGCTATGGAGACCTCCATCATAGTTGGGAGATAAGGCACCGGGGGCTCCTGCTCGGGGCCACTGCGACGACCCTGGGAAGGTTAGGAGACATATGAATGGGGGTTGGGGGGGACTTGAAGCAGGATGCTGGTGCAGCCTGACCCAGAGAGGGAGGGAGGGAAGAAGGAATTTGGGAGGCAGGGATGGGAAAACTGAGAGATCTGTGATACTCAGGCTGGCCACACGGGGGCGCCAACTTCTATAGAGCTGTTCTGGGCCATAAGTCCAGCCAGGTCCAGACAGATTCACATCTCCCAGCCTCAGTTTCCCCATATGCAGAATCAACAACCCCTCCTCCCCCACAGGGAAGGATGCTGGCTCAGAGGCACACAGTAGGTGCCCTAGAGGCCAGCTCCTCCCAGTCCTGCCACGCCACACAGGTCTTTCAGAAATCTGCTCTCACTCCTCCTTGCCCCCCTCCTCCGTCTCCGATGCTCATCAGGTACATCCTTGCAGGGAATGGGGAACAAGAAGACCTGACCCCTTTGGCAGAGGAAGCATGGGGCATACAGTTGGTGCCCAACTAATATCTGTTGGGTGGACAAACACCCAGGTGAGAGTCTCAGGTCGGCTGCTCTGATTCTGGGCGCCCCTGACCTGGCCCAACCGTGTCTCATGTGCCCCTTAGGCTCACCAACACAAATCGCTGGGTATTGCCTCCTGGCCTTTGCCTGTGCCGTGACCTAAGAATCCTGGCTTGGAAGTTTCCTCCTGGAAGCCTCCCTGGATGCCTATAGGAGCATACACTCCAAGGCAGGTGGTGTGTCTAGCTCCCTAACTCATGTATGCAGCCTGACGACCCCTTCCCACCTGCTCCAGATTGGAGGCAGCAGACACAGCCCCCTCCTTCCTTCCCCTCCCCCTGTACAGACCTGCCAGGCCCTGTGGGGAACCCACGGGGGTCGAAGGGCTAGACGAGAAGTTATTGCTTGAGTGATCCGGAGAGTAGATCTGCAATGGGGATGAAGAGAGATAGGGCCACCAGGCAGCCAGTCAGGGGCTGGCCTCTCACAGTCACGGCCCAGCCACCCTTGCAGGCCAGCGCCTTCCCAAGGGCGTCCCCAGAACTGCCAGCTGTGGTCCCTCGGGAGCCTGTGGGTGCACAGAGGTGAGACCCAACCTCAGGGACTTGGTGCCCCAGTACCTGGGCTTAGCTTGGATCCCCCAACTGACAGGGAGTTCCCTTCTAAACTCAGCTGCTAGGCATGGATGCCCAAGCCCAGGACTGGGCAGCCCCTGATTTTGATCTGGTTTCTGCCTGATGTCTCGTCACCTGCCTCCATGGAGGCTCTGGGGACAGGAAGACTGTGGGCCCTGGAGTTTTCCCAAATGTAATCTGAGCTACAGTTTTCCCAAATGTAAAGTGGGGGAATGCATTCCTCAAAGATCCATTTTCTTTGTGTGTGTGTGTGTAGTTTAAAATATAAGTATCATTAAAAACAGTAACAATAGCACAAAAGGCAGGAGGGGGAATTAAATGGGAAGTGTTTCAAAGTAACAAGCCATTTTCAAATATCAGAGATGGGACCATGGGGCTGAGGAGCCAGAGCTGATCCCAGGAGAGGGAGGGCGTTGTTAATAACAAGGGCCACATCAGGGTGGAGTGAGGGGGTCATACCCATGAGACTTTCGGCCCCACTGACAGGGGGCGTGTGGCTGGCAACGCTGCCATAGGTGGCTGTGGGGGCTGAGAAAGTGGACACAGCTGGGAGCCCACCATTCACCTCCGCACTGTGCAGTTGGTAGCCCTGTGGTGGGATGAGGTCAGAGGGGATGAGATGGGGTCAGATAGGGTTCTACCCAAATGCACACCCCCGCCCCATATCCAGGAGCCTACCATGCGCTCGTGCTGGTGCAGGCCGCCAAACCCACCGCCACTACCACTGCCCACGGAGCTGCCGCCACCTGGTGGGAGGGGCAGGGGAGATGAGCTCCCACCCAGCATGGGCCCGAAACCCGCCTGCCCTGGGGGGCTCCAGAGCTCGGCTGAGGGGTGCAGGCTGCCATCTGCAAAAAGGGGGAGATAGTAAAATGAGCAGACAGAGGGGCCTGGGCCCTGTCCCAGCCATCTTGGTTGAGCCCCCATATACCTGCCATGTAGAAGGGTGCCGGGTAGGTGCTGCTGGGGGTCTTGGCAGATGGGTAGGGGGTGGTATCCCTGCCGTAGTCATCACCTGAGCTGGGTGGGTACACCTGTGGGAAGGTAGGTGGACATGGTCAGATAGAAGGGGTAGGACTAACTTACCCTCCACCCCTTGGCTGGCCCCTTCTCCAGTCCTGTCCTCCACTTGACAGCAGTCTACCCCACCACCCCATTTCCCTGAGCTGACCTCCTGCACAGAATTCCTTTCCCCTCCTTAATCCAGCACACACCTTTGATCAAAGCCCAGCTGTGATGCCCCCAGCCCTTCCTTCTTCCCCCAGTGCTGGAACCTCCCTTGGCCTCAGCCCTAAACATGCAAGACCCAGAAGCCTCAGAGACAGGGTCCTGGACTAACATTCCACCCAGGGTAACCAGAGCAGAGAGATAGCAAAGGTCTTCTAGGATCAGTGCCAACTCTGGTCACTGGGTACTGCCTAAAACTAAGGCAGGGCCCAGGAGAAAGTGCTGGGATCAACAGGTGGTAATGTCTGCCCCAACACTGGAGTTTAGAAATAGGGGTACAGAGTACTGGCAGGATGAGGTGGGCCCCAGGGAGCTCTCAGCTCCAGGAAATTGGAGTGGGGATTTAGGTGAGGAAAATGGGGAGTCAATGACATTATAAATGATACCAGGAGTCAAGTCTTAAGACTGAGCCTGACTGTACCTCCTGGCTGTCGAATGTCAACTAACACCCAAGCCTATGGTCTAGGTCAGCTTGGGCTCTGCCTGACCCCTGGGCCTAAGGGCTCCTGAAGGCTGGTGCAGAGCCAAACTGAGGAAAGTCAACTAACACCCAAGCCTATGGCCTAGGTCAGCTTGTGGGGGCTCTGCCTGACCCCTGGGCCTAGGGGCTCCTGAAGGCTGGTGCAGAGCCAAACTGAGGAAACAGACAAATTGCTTTTTCTTCCCATGATTAAATCTCGAATGGCCCAGTACCATCTGTTGAGCCTGGCACCCTGCCAACCTCCAGGCAATGAGGTGGGGATACAGGGTGGCTCAAACCTGGGTGGACAGGGAGGAGGAGGAGACCTCCTAACTGGCTGTCAGGTGCCCCCACCTGCTCCCCCTCCCAGGACCCCATCCATACCCTTTCTAAGACATCACAGGACATGATTTCTTAAAGAGGATCAAGACTAAACCTCAGGAAGAACTTCCCAAACCCCTGGGAAGTAGTCTCTGGTCAGAGCTGAGTCCTTGGGGGCAAGTGCCTAGCTGACTGACCAGTATAGCTGGAGGTTTTGCCCCAGAACCCACATGCCTATACTCAGGAGGCCATGTGGGTCTACATGTTCCTGGCTGCAGTAGCATGCACAGCCCAGTGCCCCCAATGACACATTGTGTGGCCTCCAGCAGGGACAGCCCCCAAACCTGAAGGGCAGGAGGCATGTGGTCTGTGGGGTCTTCACTCCATCTCACAACTCACCGAGGATGGAAGACCTGGCGGCACCTTCCGGACTTTCTTGGGCTGCGTATCTGTTAGGAGTAAAAGGAGTGAGCCACCCCCATTCAGCCTGGCTCCTGCCCCACCCAGCCAGAGTCCTTCAAGGCCCAGGGACACGTGCGCCTATCATTGGGAGTGTCAGTAGACAGCCTACCCCTGCACCTTGGAGAGGAGACCCTTGAGCTTCCCATGTTTTGTTTTGTTTTTGTTGTTAATCCTCACCTGAGGATATTTTTCCATTGACTTTTAGAGAAAGTGGAAGAGAGAGGGAAAGAGAGACAGAAACATCGATGTGAGACACATTGACTGGTTGCCTCCCACACGCACCCCAACATGGGCCGAGGAGTGAGCCTGCAACCGAGGTACATGCCCCTGACTGGAATAAAATCTGAGACCCTTCAGTCCACATGCCAATGCTCTAACCACTGAGTCAAACCAGCTAGGGCTTGAGCTTCCCTTTTAATTTAAATAAGGGCTTGGGTCTACATGCAAGGGACTAATATGCAAGAATCATGGGTGGGAGGGGTCTGCAGCAGGGAGTCTAAGAAGTGGGGAGTCAATGGGTACTTGAGCCAGGGCCTTGCCCCCCATTTCACCCTCACTCCAACTCCCATAGTCGATCCTCTTTATTCACAGATCCAAGAATTGCAAATCTGCTGAAGTTGGTTTCCTCAAATCATACACAGTGTGTTAGGGGTCACTCACAGCCATGCACAGAGTGGGGAAATATGGGTGGCTACCTGGCATGTACCCAATGAGGGGGAACCAGGTGGTGTTTTGTCTTCCAGTTCTACCTCAGACTACAAACCAGGGTCCTTCTCTTAGGCTATTGAGAGCCCTGACTTACATGCTTTTTGTGAGTGGTTTTGCTGCTTAAAATACTCCCCATGCATGTGTGGTGTCCTGGTGCTGGCTAGTGTCTCTGAGCACAAAAACTGGGACATGAAAAATGCGTTAGCCAGCCAGTGGTTGAGCACTGACCTATGAACCAGGAGGCCATGGTTTGATTCCCGGTCAGGGCATATACCTGGGTTGTGGGCTCGATCCCCTGTGTGGGGCGTGTAGGGGGTAGCCTAGCAATGATTCTCTCTTGTCAGTAATGTTTCTATCTCTCCCTCCCTCTCCCTTCCTCTCTGAAATCAATAAAAATGTTTAAAAGAAAAGTATGTGTTAGATCAGCTACATTCAAGCTTGAGTTACAGCACCGCTGGCCAGTTCCATGTTAATGAATCAATGATTTATGTGAAATAAGGTGCCTTTAGCCAAAAATACACATGGCACAAGGCTATGTGTTGATCTGTTGACCAGAGACTGACAGGAACATATCCTCGAATTTCCCCAGAAACAGGGAATCAGTGTTCACGGTGACTCGGTAAGACAGAACCTCTATAAATAACAAGAATCCGCTGTTTCTTTCTTGGGTCACTATCCATCCTTCTACCCATCTGATCTCCTAGTCTGGGAGGCCCACAGTGGGGACAGATCCCCTCCCTGCCCCCACCCCTGGGCCTACCAGCCCTACCAGCAGCCCCACTCACCAAGGCTGCTGTCCGCAGCTCTCCGCCGAGCATGGCTGGGGTAGGAAGAGTAATATTGGGATCCACTCTTGACGCCTGAGGGGGACAGTGGCCCGGGGCTGCTGAGGGCCAGCTCACTGGGCAGGAAGCCAGCCTGGGAAGGGGGGGTGGAGGTCATCACCAGGGGCTAGGCTGGCATCCAGCACCCAGCCTGGCTGTCCAGGGGGTGACAATGACCCCTGCTTGAGACATTTCTCTCCTGACACCTCAGCATTACTTTTAAGAAAAAACAATTGCCAGCAAGTCTGAAAAGGAACTGCATTCTGGGATGCAGAATGTGCAGACGTGTGTCTGGGCATCAGTGAAATCTGGCTGATTTAGTTTGTGCATGTCTTTTTTTTTTTTTTAAAGGTAGACAGTTTAACTTTGCATGATTAGTTTAAAATGAGTTTTCTTCCCTTGGGAGTATGAGTGACTGGGATTTGAGGCTCCATCTGAGTGGCTGCTCTATGTCTGGTATTTCCCATCTGTAAAATGGGCATATTGGCTCAGGGGGAGTCGTGGAGATCAATGGGGGGCTTATGAGCTCTGCCCTTGGCACAGGGCCTGGTACCCAGTTGGTGCTCAAAAGCCAGGGTTGCTGCCACCTTGGAACAGGCTTGGCGTGCACACAAGAGTTGCCACCTGGGGTAAGGCATGGCTGCACTCTGAGATTCAGAAGGCACAGGAGGGGACAGGAATGAAACCCTCAGGTGTGTGTGGGGTGACCTGGACAGAAAGCCACAAGGGACCACTGTGGCCAGCCAGTGCTGTCAGCCTCACAGCTGGGGTGGGCATGAGTTTCACCCAGGGCTGGGGGCTTGTGGGGTTGGCTCCCTGAGAGGAATAAAGGGCAATACCCCAAGGCTGCTGGGCTGGCCTGGTGTCTTTGGGGAGCCATAGGGCTGTGGGCTCCTCTGCCTCCCCCTCCATTCATCCACTCTGGCCAGCTCAGCCGGCCCCAGGGCCCACTCCTATTTTAGCTGCTGAAAAAATGACCAGTAGTTGGTTCATCCAGGGACCCTTCTGCAGATCAGGGGAGGAAATTGCTACCAATCTGTTTAAAATTTTAAAAGATGGGTGGGAAAGGGGTGGGTGAAGTGGTGACTGTAGCCTCCACTAGCTTCCCTCCCTCTCTGGCAGTCCCTGCCCATCTACGATGCCACTTCAGTCTGAAAATTGGGGTCCCACCCATCCAATTCTCTGGGTTCTGCAGACAGGTGAGTGCCAATGGGCTCTAGCAGCCCCCACCCTACAGACACGACCTCACCTGAGTCAAGCCCCCAACACTTGCATCTCTCCCGAAGGCAGTATATGTGCTCCGCTCGCCACCCTTGCCTGGAGGGGAGGAAAAAGGGTCACTCAGAGCCAAACCCAGGGAGGTCACGTCCCAAGCACCCGCACATGCCTGCATCCAGCAGTGGTTCCACAAGTGCACATCACTGAGAGAACCAGGTGGGATTCTGGTCTTCCCATGGCTTGGCAGACAAGCAGGGATCTGGATAGATACCATTCCTTTCCTGATGACCCAGAGGGGCTCATGCAAGTCCACCACACACACCAAGTCTCTGAGGTGGGTCAGTGCCGAGGTCAGAACCCCCTGACCTCTGAATCTTATTTCCTTTGTTCAAGGTATTGAGAATAAAACTCCCCAGGGTGCTGGGATCCCAGGGGCAGGCTGGGGTTGGGGGTGGTGGTAGTAGTGCTTTGAGTCTGTGAGGTTTGGTGCCCAGGCCCTGCCAGGAGTTAGTTCATGATGTCCTGGGAACGTTGATTGAAGTAATTTGGTGAGAAGGAGCCCTTCTCCTGTGTAGGCAAGTGACACCTTGGGCTGTGGGGACACTGTCTGCCTGATAGCCACCAGTGTGGACAAACTCTTGCCACTACACAGAGGCTTGGATCCATCCTTGCCTGAAGCAGGTACCTGAATCAATCAATAGCTGAGACATTAAATTTGTTTTTGGCTTAACCTGGGTGCCAAACTCAGCATGAGTGAGGAATTAGAATGCTCAGCTAGCTAATTTGAATTATTCTCCCCTAGTAGGGAAAAAAAAATCTCATTTTCTTTATTTTAAAAGTAGAATTTTGACTAGAGCAAAGGATGCTCTGGCTGGGGCGGGGGGGCGGGGGGGAAGGTCATGCTCCCACCACACATCCAGTGACCCCTCAGGGCAGGTGACCTTGGGTCATCTTAGGGATAAGCAAACCAAGACCTGGAGATTAGAGGAGGCCCACACTCAATGCAGGGGTGAGAGGGCACATTATTGCTTCCTTCCTCTCAGGGTGGGTGTGGGAGCAAAGCTGGCAGGCCCAGTCAGGGTTTTGGGCTCTGCCTGGGGAAGCAGCTTCACCTCCCAGACCTTTGACTTTCCCTGCTAGTTGGGGCTGCCACTGTTTAGGCTCTGCACAGAGCAGGTGCCAAATGTAGTTTTCCAAAGAGGTGGGGTGACAGAGGCAAGGAGAAGCTGAGGCTCTGGGAGAAGACCCATGGGCATACATCAGGCACCTAATCTATGTGCTGGACCTGCATATCAGGGCATAAGGGTAGGAAAAGGACAAACAGCAGAGAATAAAACCACCACGGTCTCATCAGGGGCCAGACTGGGCTGGAGGCCATGTAAGAACAGACTAAACCCACCCCTTGGGGAGCGGGAGCAGGGCCCTCACCACCCACAATGGCTGTCACCAGGCCTGTGAGCCACACTATCCCCATCCAGCCTAGTCCAGGGGTGAGAAACAGGCCCAGGGATGCCAAGGCTGCACCCACCTCCCCACTGGGCTCGGCCTGAGCTTTATGCTGCACTCACTGAACACAGGACATGTGGTGGACCTGGGACACAGCTGCCTCTGGGTTCTGCTGACCAGGCTCAGCGTGGGAACTGCCTGGGCCAGGAAGAGGCGGAAGGAACACCAGAGGGGAACAGCTGCAGGTGCAGAGGCTACCCTGGGCCACGTGGGCTGGGCCTTACTTCCTGGTCTGGGAAATGGGTGCAGACTCTTGCTGTGCAAAGAGGGTGCAAGGATGCTGCCCCCTGCCACGATTCTTCTCAGGCCACACTCGCCTGTCCAACCCTACTGTGCACCCTCTCAGGCTCAGTAAGGGACACGGACCTTTGGGGTCTGGCAAGTGCTGTCCCCTCAGGGTTCATACAAGTGCCTCTGGGTTCAGTTTCCCCACCAAATGGTCAGTCACATCAAAGCTTCCACAGTCCACACATTTACTCCCCCAGCACCACCTTAGACTATAAACTGCTAACAGTGGCGCCGAGATGAGCAGATCCCACCCAACTTTTGTGTGAAAGATGCTGTCTTAGGACCTCTTAGGCAGTGAACCAAAACCCCACTTATAGCCCAGGCTGAGTTGGGAGCTGACCCAGGGCAACAGCACCCAACCCTCCCAGAGAAGCCAGCTTTATAGTCATCCCAAGGCTTCCTCAGAACAGGAAAGGGGGTGCCAGGGCTCAGCAAGGCACCTGGATGGTCCCCTGGTGGGAAGGATGGCACAGAGGACAACAGTCCAGGCCAACAGTCCCAGTGGACAGAATCCTTGCCAGCCATGACCAGCCACAGACCCTGGACAGGTCCCTTCTTGCTAGTCCTGTTTGCTTATTTGCAAGATAAGGAGGCGGGTGTGTGTGTGTGTGCCCATGGGACCTGGAATGTTGGGCAAAGCCTCATAATCCACTACGAGAAAGGTTCTGTGAACATCCCTATCCTATGGGTGGGGAAGCCGAGTCTAAAGAGGAGACAGCCTCAACCAGGCCTAGTGAGTGGAACTTGAGCACAGGCCTGCGGAGCCGATTCTCATGGTCAGGAAGAGCAGGCTCCGATCTCCTGAGTCACCAGGATGCCCAAGTCCACTTCCTGGTGGGCACCTGGTCAGGCCCACTGGCCCAGGGGGAAAGCTCTATGTCTAGGCCACGTCCACCTGCACCCTCTGCTCCAGGTGAACGTCCCAGAAGTGTTGCTACTGAGTGCACTGACCACACCCCAGGGACCCCACGTGGGTGTGGGGGAATGGCTGTGCTCTAAAGACACTCACCTCCAAGTCCCGCTCCCAGGAATGTAGATGAAGAGAGGCTGCCATGGGACTCACTGAAGTGGGCACTTTCACCGTAGGTCTGCAGAGAGAGAGGTGGGGATGAGGGGTGTTGGGGCACAACGTTTTACAGCTGGAGAAACAGGCTTGGGAGGCAGGCATGCTTTTAAGTACCCGAGTCATGACTTTAACCCACATATCTAAGCCCAAAGTCCCTGCAGACTAGGTTGGTGTCCAACTGCCCCCTCTAAGCCTCAGTTTCCTCATATGTCCCTCTCTCCTGGAAAAGGGAAACTGAGGGTCTCAGGCCCGGCAGTAGCTCCTCACCCGGCTGGGGTCGAAGGAGGAGCTGTTCTGGTCGCCAGTGCCCCAAGAGCCTGAGCTGGGCCGGTCCTCCAGACCTGCAGGACAGGAAGAGAGAGAGGGTCACCCTTACTCCTGGCCCACTCTAAAGGCAGTTCTAGCTCTCTTCCTCATCACCTCACGGGAGAGGAGCCCTCATTCGATTTGGCATGCCTTCTGGGCCCATCCCAATCCAAACTAGCCCTGTAGCCTATCCAACCTCACCCAACTCTAGTTCTGCCTGTACTGAAACCACTGTCAGTGGTCAAGTGCCCAAGACACCCTGGCACTTGGCATATTCTCAGGTCTGCAGCTCAATAAACAATTCCACCAGCTGTCACTGCTGGTAAACTCCTACCCATTCATCAAAACTCTATATACCATGCCTACCCTGGGCAGAGCCCGCACTCACACCGAGTATCCTTCCCCCAGCCCTGATCACACTGGCTGGGGCTTGTGTGTCAGGCTCAGTCTCTCTTGACCATGTGAGAAAGGCTCACAAAGGCATAAGCAAATGGATCATGAGTAATCAGCTTGGATCTTGGGAAAGTGTGAATCTCCCCTTGCCCATCCCTGCTAATTCAGGAGGTGGGCCATCCCTTTGTTGAAATAGCAGCAGCTGTCACTGACTACCCACTAAGCAGACTGGCAGCCATTCTGGGGTAGAACCCAATCCCAGTTAGGGACAAAACACCGAGGCTCCTGCCACTTGCCTGCCAGGCTGGGAGGCCAGAGGTCCAAGGTGTAGCCCGGGTTAACGAGAGTGGGGAGAGGACCTTGACCTCAAGGGGCAGGGCAGGGTGGGGCCCTTATCTTCCCGGACACTCTCCTAGGCACTAGGCACCCACCCAGGACCCAGAATCTTCCCCACGGGGCGAGAAGCCTAGGCCTGCATCCTTCCCCATCCCTCAGGGATCAGGACATATGTCCTGGACAAGTAGAAGGGGAGCAGTCCCAGGCCCCTCCCTCTCTGTGCCTCAGTTCCCCTCCTCTGTAAATGGTATAATGAATAAGTCCACTTGGCAGAATTAGGGAAGGGGGGAGGGGGACACGGGAGGAGGGAGTCACCTGTACCAGCACAACCCCACTCCCAATCTACCTCCAATCCCACATGTTGGAGTTTCCCATGCACTCCATTCCAAATCCTGCATCCCACCTCCTGCCCTCCCCTGCTTCCTTCAAATTGTATCCTTCTATTTCGGTGGCATTGTGTTAATCACTTCCCCCAGAGAACTGGTGTTTAATTGCTGTCTAATTTTCATGATTATGCATATTAATCTCCCATCCTAATGAATATTCATACATCCCATTTAGATTTTGTTTCCTAATAAAAAATTTCCAACATGATTACGGTGGGGGTGGGGCTGGGGGCTGAGGGGCTGCCTCAGCAGGTGGGGGACTAGTAAGGGGCTCCTATGGTCTCCAGGAATCCATTCTGTGGTCTGCCAGGTTTGAGGTATCTGTACCGAAAGGTCCTAGACTCCCACTTGGGCTCTGGGAAGGAGAGCAGAGCAGCCAGTGAGGCAGGGGTGACCTTGGGTAAAGTGCCAGTAACCCTGGAGCCTCAGTTTCCCTCTATTGCACTTGCCTGCTGGCCCCTCACCCTCTGGAGCAGCTCCCACTCCTGAAGGCCTGGCAGTGGTGAAGACATGGGCCCCACAAGTGCCTGGCAGAGACAACAGGGTGCTGCTCTGCCCTTTCTGGAAAAAGTCCCAGTCCCCATATCCCCTTCTATAAATGACAAAAATAGGGACAGACCCTCCCACCCTCACTACTTCCATTAATAGTTATTAGCCCCTCACCCCCGATTATGCATTTTAATAACCCATCCCTTATTTGTATTCTAACTAAAACATACTAGCCCGGCCAGTGTAGCTCAGTGGTTGAGCACTGACCTATGAACCAGGTCAGCGTTCGATTCCTGGTCAGGGCACATGCCTGGGTTGTGGGCTTGACCCCCAGTAGGGGGCATGCAGGAGGCAGCCGATCAATGATTCTCTCTCATCATTGATGTTTCTATCTTCCTCTCCCTCTCCCTCTCTGAAATCAATAAAAATATATATTAAAAACACAAACTGAATTATTCCTGCAGAAGTATACTACTACTTCCAAGTGTGTTACTGAGAGGTTTGCACCTGATTGGTTCACATGAGACATTGGATTTCTCCCTTCCTCTAATCAGGAAATTCTTTCTATAACATGCATATCACCCCAAAACTAGAGTGAAAGACATAGTTGGCCAAGCATTTCTAAGCTGGAGACCACAAGGGCTCACTGGCAACCCCCCAAAATGAATGAAAAAGCACAGGTTAAGATGAACATGTGCATTCACTGAGTGTCACAGGCAGACAAAGATACAGGAGAAGGTGGAGGTGGGAAGGCAGGTGGCTGAAGAATTCTACTCCCAACTGTCCTGTGCAAGGCAAACATCACCATGTTCCTTTGCTAGAAATCATCCCTAAGACACACTCCAGGCTGGGAGGGGCCAAACACGAATGTGGGGATCAGGAGGACGTGATGAGTGGGGCTGGGGAAGGCAATCCCATCCCATTAGCCCTGAAGTGAAGACACCATCGAATCAACAAGACATGCCGAGCGGAGCATGGCCAAGGGTTGCTGGCCTTCAGGTGCCACACTGCTCTGGACAGTTCTCATGGTTTATCCCACAGGATCCTTGCAGTGGCTGCTAATATCCCAATTTGACAGATGAGAAACTGAGGCACAAAGATTAGTCATTTGCTTAAGGTCTCATAATAAGCAGCAGAGTCGATACAAGGACATGTGTTTCTGAGCAGGATACAAATATATATAACTCATTAATGAAGAGAAAACAATGTTTTTAAAAAGTGTTGATTTGCCCTAACTGGTTTGGCTCAGTGGATAGAGCATCAGCCTGCGGACTCAAGGATCCCAGGTTCGATTCCGGTCAAGGGCATGTACCTTGGTTGCGGGCACATCCCCAGTAAGGGAGTGTGCAGGAGGCAGCTAATCGATGTTTCTCTCTCATGGATGTTTCTAACTCTCTATCCCTCTCCCTTCCTCTCTGTAAAAAATCAATAAAATATATATTTTTAAAAAGTGTTGATTTATTTATACTAAACTAGAGACCCGGTGCATGGATTTGTGCACCATTGGAGTCCTCGGCCTAGACTGCTGGGATCGGGCTGAAACCAGCTCTCTGACATCCATCCCCTGAGGGGCCCTGGATTGTGAAAGGGCACAGGCCAGAGCAAGGGACCCCACCAGCACGATTGGGACCAGGGAGGGACCGCAGGAGGGCCCCAGGGCATGCCCGGCCCATCTTGCCCAGTCCTGATCAGCTGGACCCCAGCAGCAAGCTAACATACTGGTTGGAGCGTCTGTCCCCTGGTGGTCAGTGTGCGTCATAGCAACAGGTCGAACGGTAGGTTGGGCACTTAGCATATTAGGCTTTTATTATATAGCAGCGGTCGCCAACTTTTCGGACCTCATGGACCACCAGTGGTCCGTGGACCACTGGTTGGCAACTGCTGCTATATGGGATACCAGTGTGGGGAGAAGATGCAGAGGCTCATTCCTCCACTTTCCTTCAAGAGGGACATGTGACTTCATTTCTATGGGTGAAAAGCCAGAAATGGGAGGTTTCAACATGTTCTTTAAAGCCATGAAAATGACTACCAGTGAGCTGCAAACTAGCACAGACCTTTCAAAACCAATTCTAGAAAACACATGCCAGACATATATATGCAATTACAGGAGGAGGTAGAAAGACAGGAAAACCAAACCTGAAAGTATGAGGAAGGGCTGAAAATGTAAGCCTCACAATTAATTTCTTGAAAACTAAAGCCACAGCACCTACAGAAGACATTCTGGAACAAGCAGATCCAAAGACGAGAGAGAATCAGCTGCACAAAGATGGACCAAAACATGAAACCAAAAGGTGGAGTTGTAATATTCATCTAAAAGTCTGACTGTTTTTTTTAAATCATCACCCAAGAATATTTTTTTCCATTGATTTTTAGAAAGAGTAGAAGGGAGGAAAGGAAGGGGAGGGAGGGAGGGAGAGAAACATTGATGTGAGAGAGGAAGGGGAGGGAGGGAGGGAGGGAGAGAAACATTGATGTGAGAGAGACACATTGATTGGTTGCCTCCTGAATGCGCCCCAACAGGGGACAGGGATGGAACCAGCAATGTAGGTATGTGCCCTTGACCAGGAATCAAACCCACAACCCTTTGGTGTGCAGGTCAGTGCTCTAACTACTGAGAAACGCCAGCCAAGGCTAAAAGTCTGACTTTTTAGAGGCAACTGCTCACTGGAATAGAGGTGATGGCTTTTTGCAGGGGATGGGCTTGACTCACAAAGCCCCACTGACCCAAGTTTCATGTGCTGACAACCCAGTGTACAAACAAATAAGCAGGAGCCTGGGGAACACTCAGAGAACAACAAACACAGAAGGGAGGTGAACTGATCTCTTGATGTCAAACAAATTAAAACCCTAAATGTGGTCAGGTGGGAACAAAGACCTCACGGCTCCACACCCAAATGTCCCTCAAGTACTTGTGAAGAATGACAAAGTGGCTCCATTTCAGCGAGAACAGGAACACTCTATACTGTTTGGACAATTGCAGCAGCTCAGGCTGCATTGATGACCTATAATTGAAATTCATCAATCCAGGGACAGATACTCCACTTCCAACTGGAAATCAGAAATCTCCAAAATAAAGACTCAAAGAGAAAAAAAATTTAAATGATCAAGTATCTCTAAAACCTAAGTAAAATACCCATTATTGCAATCAACAGGATACGACTGAAGTGGTCCTCAGAGGGAAGTGTATAATCCTGGGCTCTGATTACTAAACCAGAGAGAACAGAAGCAAACAAATGTGGTCTCTGACTTAAAAATAAAAATAAAATAAAAATAAATACTTTAAAAAGAGGAGGCATCAAGGAAGAAGAGGGAAGAGAAAAAAAGTCAATTGATAAATACTGATTCAGCAATGAAGCAGATTGGAAGAAAGATCAATAACAGATAAAGGATAAGGAAGCAGAACCAAGGACAAAAGAACAGAAAAACACATA